CATCGTCTAAGAATCGTTGTATACTATGCGAAGGACTGGTTTGCGTTAAAATAATCACTCGGTATAATAAAGCGCGCACGATTGTATACGAGTAAATACTAAATAACGACAAAAAAAAAAACCTCTATATTTTAATAGTTAAAATAATATGTATATTCGAGAAAAAAACATAAAACGTACGAGATTATATTTCAACTACCTAACTGTCCAGTCACGATAAGGTTAGGTACATTATAAATTCGTATATAATTTTTTTTTTTTGGTTCGATCGCGAAAACGTGTTGACCGTATTACCGTATTCCGGCGGTAGCTGAATTTTTATTACACTTTAATCAATCCATATTATATTATTATAAAAATATAACATATAAATCATGATATTTTTATCATTACGACTCAAAATTTCCGTAAATATATATATATATTTCTCGTACAAAAACACATAATTAATTTAAATGAATAAATAGGTGTAGACAAAAACTTTTTGTCAAAAAGTATTATGATATGCGCGCACCCTTTAATAATCTGATTTAGACCGGACAGATATGAATACCTAGCTGTTTAGTGATGAAATATCGTCAACCGAGATCGATACCCTGAAAAAACTTATGTACGATACCTATGGCCGATATGACCGTCAAAATCAAACTATGCCTATACACACATATTATATATTATTATTATTATTAATAAAACGTACGACAATATTATCGGTTTGCGTGCGTTATAAAAATACGCAAGACAACGGTCTATAATAATAATAATAATAATAATAATGGTACCGCGTAAAAAAAAAATTAATAATGCCCATTATATTCCGTTTCACCGCGATGATGGGTTCGAAAAGTACGCCGAAAGTCGGTGGCGGCGTTCGCTTGCCGATGTAGGTCTCCGGCCTCCACCGCCACCGCGCAACGAAAATGTTTTTCTCTCGCGATTCGTTACGTTTGGTTTCCATCAGAAAAGTGCTCTGACGCGGCATCGTCACACTCTTCTCTAATCTCTATTTCTCGCCGCCAACCGTCAACCAAAACTGTACATGTTGTTAGGTATTATAATCATCGTCGTGCGTACGCGCGTGTACGCTGCACAACTATTTTCCAATGTCGTCGGCCTTCGGAATTCGCGTCCGCCAAGGCCAGGGATTGTCGAATTTACGCTGTACAGGTAAACGGAATCGCGACAAGTCTAGTTCGGACGCCATTATACATATTTTATCGAATAACATAACAGCAAAAAAAAAAAAAACAATCCAAACAATTTATTATGATACTTTTGTTATTTACCGACCGTTTTTCGTTCGATTATATTAAATTGCGCGCACGCGCGCCCGCTAATCGAACGGCTCGAAAAACGATCGTTGAAAAAAACACACATACCTACTAGTGTAGGGGAAAAGACGGAAAGAAAACGGTATTTGATCCGATTTCCATCCGAAGAATGAGAAGACGCATTAAACCATCCGGTATACCTATAATACCTAGAAATTTTAAAACAAGATTTGAATGGATTTTAAACAAACTGTTTGTCTGGCTGAAAAGATAATAGAACATTTCATTCTAGCATAATATCGTATATTGAATGCTAATTGATTGCTCGAGCTAATTAGGTACGCGATAATTATTGTGAAAACGACTTTTAAGTGATATAGGATTCCTCGTTTCCTCATATTGTCTTGATTAGATATCCCATATACTAACGACTGATAAACCAATTTACTCACCAAAATTTGACTTTAAAACGTTATTAAATCGAGGAACTTATTCAGCTGTATTATATATGTATAGTTGATGTCGACTGCATTTTATCATCGAGTATAGGTCACTCTATAATGGACATGTTAAATTTGAATTCAGTAATTTATCATTGCAAACTAATTTTTTCCAAAAGCATCACACTCATTAAATTATTAATTATTGTAATTATACAACAATGGTGTATATTTTTATACATTTTAATATATTATTGTTATTGTTAACTTTTGAGTCAATGTCAACTTGTCTTAGATATGATATAAAAATGAAATAACTAAAAAATAATTTGAATATTTTAAAAATATATCATTGCAGCTTATTATAATTATCTACACGTAAAAATGTCAAATTTCTGACTCCTCTTCTGATTGTTGAAATGCAACAAATTAATTAAAATCGTTCATTTTTGTTTAAATGTTTATTTTGTCAACATTTTAATTTCAAATGCCTAAAAATATTATGAATATATATATATGTGTTTTAGATTTTTAAGTTTCATTAAGTATTTATTAATAACCTTGTGTTCCTAATATCTTCAGCCTACCTATAAGCTGTTAAAATTAAAAATGTTTTACAAAATAATTTTAAAATTGTATTGTTTATATGAGTAAATGATACGTCAAGTGTTAATGAAATACTTCAAGTCTTACGATTAATAGTTTTGAATGTTTTGATTAATCATGAAATAAAAAATCATTAGAAGGTAATCATTGTACGTTTAAAAAGTCAAAATTCACTTCTGAAATATGTATGTGGCTTTGCACTAACTTTATTTTTATATATCATTAAGAAAAAATTCAAGAGAAATTTTTACTAAATTTTTAAACCTAATATGTTAAAATTAAAAATGAATAAACAAATTTTTGATTTTTTAAATTCTATAATACTATTCTATTGATTTTTATGAAGTTCGTAGAAAAACTTAAAATTATCGATCTACTTTTTGTGTGAAAAATATGTGCATAAACGAATTGTACCTATATTTCCCTACTAATCGTTCTCTCGATATTCTTTATAAGTAAAAATATTGCAATGAACCCATACGTTTGTTGGTCCTTCTGTGATGGATTTAATGAAAAAACCCAATTCACAATCATTTTAAAGACCCGATAAAATAACAACACTCGGTTTTAGGTTAGGACATTTTCATTTTTATAATAATTATTTTGAGTTAAATTAACTTAGGCTACAATAATTTAATAATATAATTATTCACTATTAATTATTGAAGTATATTAAGTATAGGTACCTGTCTATGCATTTTAAAATTAAAATTGTAATTATAATATAATATGTTATATAATATATAACCATTATAACCATACTATATGGGATACAGATAAAACATTTTAAACACCGACAGATATATATAACTTAATCGACTGATTAAAATGCTGAAAAGTTACAGTTTATCATATAAAAATTACTTAATTTATTAAAATTGATAAAATGTAGGATTTCGTTATTATTTATTTAAGGAAAAACCGAAAAAATGACCTAATAAAATATATTATATAAAATGATTTCGCATTATACTAATACACCAGCGTATATTGCTGTTACTAAGATAGCTGTTGCCCAAAATATTATGTCTAACTTTACCTATTATTAGTATTTAGTGTACTTACTTATAGGTGATTAAGAATAATTTATCAGTATTCAATATCTGCAGGTGATTCGTTTATCATGATCTACACATTATTTAAAAATTATACAAGTTTTTGAAAATATTTATTTTACATAATCTTAAATAATGAAAAACCATCTCAAAATCAAAAAATTTCTGTCTAATAGGTATAGTTTATTGCAATAACTGTGAAATAAATCAATACGTAAAAAATAACATTTCGGACGATTAGTTATACCCCAAGCCTCTATATAGATATTGTAAGTTTAAATGAGTCAAATGGATTGCACCACTATTTAAAACCTTAAACAAACTGCTCGTCTGAAATTTGATCTTTACGTATCGAAATACCTACTGAAAGATAATATTATACTAGGAAAACAATATTTAAAATTATTCTTTTTTTTAGAAAATTTTTGTTTTTTATTATTTATTTAAAATTATGAGCAATGAGTATTTTTAAAAACTATTGACGTGTGATGTTGTAAACGGTGAGTTACGATAAATAAATCACTCTGTATGCACATATTACACACCATACAATAATTTTAATTTTAATCTATCAAATGTAAAATGTTATCAATAACTATGACTTGGTTGTAAATAGTTGCTCCTTCCCGTTTTCGATTATTGTAAAACATTCGTAATTTATGCAATCATAGTCGATATTATAATTATTATATGATCCGTTAAAAATAAATACATTTACGCTGATTGTCAATAGGCGGGTACGCGATTAAGATGTAGTTTTTAGTCAATACCACAATCGATGACACATCTCTCCTGAAATTATTAGATCTCATCAGTTTTTTGTTGATTGGCTCGAGTCCACAGTCGTCAAATTTTGTTATTTTGTTTCGTTGGATTCGTCACTTTAGTCGCCGCGCGGTCCTACAATATTGTAGGTACCCTTAATTGTCGCTGAAAAGTAAAGGAAATTTACATGTATACGTACCGGACAGCGATTGTGGTAGGCGGCTGGTCTATTGTAATGCCTGTGCGATTATAGATTATTATTTCGCTTTCCTCGACGATATATATAGTTATATTACGTATATAGTCTTGTTCTAAATCGATACATTTATATAATGTGTAACTACTGTGTTGGTGTATAATATCGATAGTTCCGCGAGAAAATTTCGAAAAAAATATCTAATGGAAAGACACCTAACGCCTACTCACGACTGGAAAGTGATTTGTAAAATCACGTGGTTTGACATAGTATTAACAGTAACTTACGGTAATGTTTAACATATTAACACCAGATTTAAAGATATATTTATTTTTCACAACCATAAGTAATGTATAGCACTTATGTTGACAATGAGTAATAAATACAAATAAAAATGTTCAGAATATATTGTCATTAATATTAATTTTGAACAGAGAGTCGTGTCAGATTTTATTTTATAATATTAATCTATAAAACATATAATTAATTAATTAATTAATTAATGTTATCAGATAAATCACAAAATAATTAACTACCTATTGCTAATGAGTACAAGTATACATGTACCAATGAAAATTGTTAATGATAATTCAATAATAAAATTTAAACAATTTTAAAAATATTTATATAAATTTTAAATTTGTGTTAATGTCTACATAGATACAGTAATTAATAAATTGTAAAATAAAAAAACTATAAAAATAAATAATATTACATATCATTCTAATGAAATTGTTTATAAAGGAGTAGACGGCGCAATTTTTCTGAATTTATAGCTTTTACTAGCTGGATTAGCCCAACATTCTTTAACATGTTCCTTTACATTATTAAAAAGTTTATAACAAAATGAACAATAGCTTTGACTGATCTTAGGAGCAATTTTGGGAATTTTAGGAGTTACTGGATAAGATTGGCTAATCATCACTGATGAAGGAGTACTAACAGGTGTCGAAGTTTGTTGTAAAAACAATGGTCGTGGCTGTAACATTGTATACTGAACAGGATTGTTTGAGTTTTTACCATGATCGCCCAGAAAAATTTGATAAGCAATCCCAGGCATTTGAGGTGAAGGCATAATTATCTGATGTTGAGTTGAGGTCTGTTCCAAGTGTGAAGTACTTGCAGAAGCTATAGGTTGTGTCATGGGCAATATAGGTCTGGGTCTACGACCCATTGGTCCTCTAGGCTTTTTCACTGTTTTGAAATTAAGTCTTGGTAAGGCAACTTTTTTTACTTGAATGTCGATTGCTGGTGGTGGTGGTGGTGGAAGTGGTTGAATTGGTTTACATACTATTGCTGGTTGTAGTTTGATATCTTCTTTTTCTTCTTCTTCTTCTTCTTCTATTTCTTCTATTTCATCTTTAACATCAATAATAGTTTGGTACTCACATTCAGATATTTCTTCTTTAATTTGATCTGTAAACAATTCATCAGAAGGTTTCACCCAAACTCTTTGATCACCATGAACTGCTGTCTCATTTTCTTCATGATTTTCAAGTACTATTGATTTTACAGCATCACTAGCTTCTTCGAGGTTTTCTATTACCTCAGTTTCTTGAGTTGATTGGTGGTCCATATCAAAATTAAAATTATCATCATCTTAATTTAAAAATAATAATTATTAGTAATAATATTAAAATTAATTAAAAACAATACATAGAAGCGTTAATATATTAGCACATAAACATAGCCAAACAGCAATTTACTGAAGAAAAAAAATCAATAAAACAATACTACAATAGATAATAACTAAATATTAAAACAAACTTGAAAAAATTGCAAATGTATTAAGTTTACCATATGCAGCATAAATTTCAAGGAACAGGATCAAGGACTATAAAATAACATAATACTTGGGCATTTGAGTTAATTTAATATATTATAACACAACATTAAATTTCAATTAATACATTTATTACAAAATAACTTAATGACCTTAAAATATTGAACTTTTTTCGTTAAGAATATTTTTGTGCCATAAATTATTGTATTAGTATAAATGATCAGATAATTGCAAGGAAACAATTATCTTCTCAAAAATAATAATACAAAAATATGTAAATATGGTTTACAAGTGTGTTTCAAGTCTAAATTCATGACAATAAAATTACAGTATAGTGATTATCCTTTAATGAAATATATTATTTTATGCATGGTACAAGTATTTTACTACTTTCCTAAAACATACTTACTCATACATTAATGGATTCAACCTTAGTGTAAGCTGAAAAATAGTTATGAGAATAATAAAAGTTATACTTTACCGTTTTGATGGCTGCCATAATTTAATTTGAATTAATATTATGTAAGAGACTAGAACATTTTTTTTTTTTTTGGGTTAAAATCTAAGAAATAAAAAAATAAGATTAAAAGCTCTAATCATCGACCTATTAACTGAAATTTAACTTTTCTACAACTATTCTGTGGTTAATACTTCAAAGGGCCGTGTTCTTAAATCATTAATCTAAGTACTAAGTAGAATTTAGATTTTAAACCGGAACAGTAGCAATAATTATTATACAAATCAAACTATCTCTTCCAAACCGAAAGTTGGATAATGATAAGATAGGTAGACTGATAATAATAATTTTAATGATTATAATTTTATTGTACCCGAAAAACACTGTTCACTAAAAATGTTTAAGGCAGTAAAACTTAAAACACATATTATTTTACTAACAAAATATTGTATAATTGTATAATGTATAGTGACTCACTAATGGAACGAAATGAGTAATAAGTAATGACTAATAAATTGATGAGTATCATCCAACTATCAAGTTCAGCAATAACATTTTAAAATTCGTATCATTTATATAAGCACCGATTTAAATGATCTTAAATGGCTATTTCGTAACATCTTGGGACTCTGCTAAGCCCGTGAACATTCATCCTTTTTAAACTTTATCATAAGTGCTCTGTGATGCATAATAAATAAAGTCTTATATAATGACTTAAAATTAAATAAACTCGTTACCACAAAAATTTTATTTAAAGTTAACAATACTAACTTTCATTTAAAAAATATTAAGTTCCTTTTTACATTGCTCCAAATATGTTCCGTGAATCAAAAAGAAACAGTGCTAGAGGCCTTATAAAATTAAATCAAAAACATTCAAAATTTTATCCTGAGGATCTGTTGCTGAATGGTCTCCTTTTCATGTGATTCATGTCTTATGTTCTAAATTCTTTGTACTTAATTACTCTATTGTTTATTAACGAGTAACAGATGTAAATATTAATAATAATAAAAAATAAAATGGATATATGATGTCATTTTGAACAATACAGTTATAATTCATATGTATCAACTATTCACAGATTAAATGAAATGTGAAAATGTTATTCATAATAGATTTAAATTTTAAAATCTATTTATAATAATAATAATAATAATAATTACTGAATGAGTAGTAACTGATGTACTGATACTTCCCATCAATTGACAATATAATTAATACAGGGCAAAATGTAAAAATAATAAATAATAACGGTTGTAAACAATAATCAATACTATTTACATTCCAGTGACATGGCTGGAAATCAGTCTTGATATAATAAATGTAAATTAATGTAATGTTTCCTTGTTGAAAATGTAGAATCATTTAATTAAATTAATTGACAAATAATGACATTGAATATTTCAATGTATCTTATTTCAATTGACACGCTTTGATGTGACTATACTAAAATAAAACCTGTAAAAATGATGTTTCACGGGTAAACGGATGTCAAATCAATAGCGTCAAACTTGTTTTGAAAGATTAACACATTTAAAAGATGTTCTAGAAGAAAAAAACAACATTAAATAGTAAAATTTTATTTTAAGAAATTAATATCAGTTCATTTTTTTGGAAAAAGTTTAATAACTAAAATGTTGTAATTGTTCTAATTTGACTAAACTAAAAAAAAAAAAAAAAAAAAAAAAACAAATAAATTATCCTGATAATTTTAATATTGGAAAAAAAAGATAGGTAAGACAATAATTCTTTTTAACATGGCGTATTTAAGGTATCTCAATAGGCATAATTAATTATTACGAATTTTCATAAATTTTAATTATATAAATATATTAAAAATGTATACACTAGTATTTTTCTAATAGTTTAGGTTGTAATAAAAACCTTAAGAGTTATGACTTATGACTTACAAAATCACTTTAATTAGACTAGACTATGCAAATTACAATCAATCTGTAAGTTGTAACCTATACAATTGTAACATTTAATGAAAAACTAATAATCATAAAAAAAATTGATTAAATATCGCAACAATTTTCACTAAATTATGTTTTAAACATAAAATAATAGATTGTTAATAAATAATATTATTAGATTAAAGATGTTAGTATTGGTCTGAGTGTTACACTCAAATATGTTATATTATGCAATCATTTGGGTAAATGTGCAAATACAACATATTAGTAGTTATATGTATTTATAAATTGAATAATTAAATAATATATTTGATGAATACAATTTTCTAAGGAACTTATACAAAATAAAATAACAATTTAATTATAAGCGTTTTAGATGAACGTTGTGTATAGTGAAAAAAATAAGGAATAACAAAATGTTAAGATACGCTTAAAAGATTATTATTTTTTTTTTTGTTGTTGACTAATGATTAGAGCCGTGATGTTAGGATTCGGCTAGAGAAGGCGATAAAAGCTTAACAGATTCTGGTAAAAAGTATAAACCAGTTGGCGTAAACTTCATTACTCCATTATCTGACGTTGGTGAGGCTGATCTGGAATTTCCACTAGTTTCGCTAGATATTTTTTTACCTTAAATAATAAACATTATTAATATTTTTGTTCAAAAACAATTAAAATTTATACTTACTAGAACTAGAAAGTGGTGATAAAGCTTCATATAGTATAGTTGGTTGTAGACTTTCTGATCTTAACATTTGCATACAATTTTTTAGTTCTTCTACATGACGTTTACGTAAATTCTCTAATTCAAAATATTGCCTAAAACAAAATCCAAATATATATATAACAACTTCAATAATAAATAATAAATACATTAATTTAATTTAATTTTACCTCTGCAATAGACTTTGAAAATCAAAAGGAGATACATTTAATTGAGTAGTTTGTGATACTTCAATTGGATTAGCAGGTTTATAATCTATGTTTAAATCTTTCTGATCTTTAGTTTCATCATTCTAAAAAAATGATTGAAATCAATAAACATACAGATTGTCATAAAACTATAAATAATGTAAAAATGTATGTTTAATGATGGAATATTATTGTTAAATATTTTTAACATACAGAATGTGAAACTATTTGGTAATTATCACAAGGGACATCTGTTTCTAAAGATTGTGCCACATGTTGGTCAGTTGATGAGGGTAATGTATGGACATTGACTGCATTTGAGGAATATTTTTTGTACGTATTGTTATGGATACTAGACAATTTCTAAAACAAATAATCAAAAAGTTATTCATAAAGTATTTTGATAATGGACTTTTTGTAATAGATCAACTAATCTATTCAAAACATGAAGGAACCTAAAAAACCCTCTATAGAGCATTAACCAGACAGAAACAACTGTAATAAGTCACTCTTTTTTTATTTGATAGGATTCTGTGCTATTTTGGCAAAAACCCACTAAAGTTCTTTCTCGTGTCTTAACCAGACCACAGAAAAATTAAAATATTTAAAAAAATGTTGTCATGAAACTTTTAAATATAATAATATGACGTTATGTTATACTATTTATTTTATTTGTTAAAATTACCTTACACATTATTATAACAATAATATTTTATGGTAATGTATTTCTATCATAATATAACCAAAGGTTACAGAATAACCTTAGTTTATATTATTTTACTATATCAATATGGACTATGGACTTTAGCTCTGCTATTTATTAAATTTACCTAGTCATCTATTTTTTGATATAAAATAATACAATATATTGTATGAGTTCTTTATAAAATATGTGATGTAAAAAAATTATAGATGCTTTGATATCTACACAAATAATAATAATCATATATTTACTTGTATAATTTTATATTTTTTTTAGTTAGTTATTACTTTAAAACATTACCTTTTCTAAACTATGCAAATCAACTGACTGAGCACGACTAATTTTTCTCTCTTTAGAATCTTCTTTATGATTATTTGAATTATTTTCAAATTCCTAGTAAATAAAAGGTAAAAAATTTAGTTAGTAATGTGGTTAAAAAATTAAGCTAAGGGTATAACAAAGTGCTTTAAATACTTGAACAGACGGTTCTTGGTTTTGTATAAATTGTGATTGAACCATAATGACATGACCAGGTAACGGTTGTACAACCATAGTTTGTTGATCTTTATTTTCTTCTGTCACTATTACACGTTGGAGTGTTTCATTACCCGTCAAAATTGATTGAGCTTGAACTGCGTGCACAACAATTGGCCCAACTTCATCACCAATATGTACTTCATCAACTCCAATGGCTACTGGTTGCATAGGCTTTACGACTTCAATAGCAATAGGTATTTTTAATTTAGATGTTGCAGAGCTTATTGCATGTAATGTACTTTGAGGTGAGAGCGGTCCCTTTAATATGTAATATAATTATTAACAGTAAATATATATTATTTAATGAAGAGTTTGGTTAACACATACAAGTATGTTGCCAGCAGGCATTGAAATGGAAGCCAAACGTTTTTGAAGGTTATTCATATATGTCTCATAACCAGTATGCCCATGAGGTGTACTTGGATGAGAACCAATAGGTGGAGTACTAGATGATAATTCTGATGGTTGAGCTGTCAGTTGGATTAATTTTTGCTGGAGTTCGGATATAGTAAGAGAACCTCCTTTTTGACATGTTCTAAATATAATTTCAATTAATCAATTAATAATTTTAGTTAATTATTCACTAAGACAAATTTTTGTACATACGTATCAGAAGAAACTTGGGAATGTAGTTTAGAATCAGTCGTAAGACCAGTATTTGTATCAGGACTTGATATATCTTCATTTGTAGTTAAAGGACAAACTGGCACATTTTGATTATTAGTACTTGCTAATGTGATCATTTCATTCAAAATATTCTTTTGAAGTGATTCTGGACTGAGTAATTCAGTTTGTTTTGGTATGTTCTTATCAATATTACACTATTAAAATAATGAAAATAAAAAAAAAACACTAATAACAACAATAAAATAAAAAACTTACTTCTTCTAATGTTTGTTCTGTAATGACTGGGCTTACTAAAAATCTTGATATTTTCCTTGCCTAAGTAAATAATAATTGAGATTATCAATAAA